AGATTTAGGAGTTTTCCTTATGGATTTCCCTATTTTATTAAAAAGCTCCCAATAGTGAAAGAAAAATAGGTGTAACAGGTGTAACTGATGCCTGTGCTCCTATGGTTATACCTAGATCAAATAGGAAGCATTTAAATCTAAAATGAAGGACCTAGCAGCACTTAGAAACATCTAGTCAATAGTCTGCTGTCAAACAAAATTTAACTTATTTTATGATATACAAACCAAACCAAGAAAAATAAAGCACAAATCTATGTATTATCAAGTTACATTCTGTGGAAGAACTCAGATACATATTCCACAGATTAAAGGCCAACATAATTCATATAAGAAGCAGCTGAGGGAGCTGGGTTGTTTATCATGGAGAAAAGGAGACTCGGGGGACATCATCACTCTTTACAACTGACTGAGAGGAGGCTGTAGCCAGGTGGGGGTTGGTCTCTTTCCCCAGGCAAGTGACAGGACAAGAAATGGTCTCAAGCCGCTTAAGTTGGACATTAGGAAGAATTTCTTCACTGAAAGGGTATTAGAACGGGCTGCCCAGGAAGGGGGTGGGGGGTGGAGGGTGATCCCTGGAAGTGTTGAAGAAATGACTGGACATGGCACTTGGTGCTATAGTTTAGTTGACAAGGTGGTGTTCAGGCAATGGTTGGACATGAGGGTTTTGGAGGTTTTTTCAACCTCAGTGATTCTCTGATTTCTCATGAAGATCCTGTGGAAGGAACTCATAGAATCTCTCTTTAAAATTACATTTACACGCATATATCACTACTTTAAAAAAAAATGAGAATGCTGTATACTACTACTCCTAGTTCAACTGAAATAAATAATTTTAGATTACTTAAATCTTTTGCAATAAGCATTTTTCCTGAGATTTTTACTTTCTCTAATTTAAAAATGAAGGATTTTGGTTTATTAAACTTTGGCAAAAATGTTCTATATCTGCAACATGTGGAACAAATTTTCCTAATTTTGAAAGGAACATAGAGCATGTAGGGGTTTCACTAGGAGCATGGCCAGCAAGTCCAGTGAGGTGATCCCTCTCCTCTAATCAGCCAACATTTGGAGTGGTTTAGTTCAAGGCTCTTCTGTACAAAAGAGACATACAAGAGCCAGTCCAGCAACGGACACCAAATTTTTAAGGGACTGGAGCATCTCTCCTGTGAGGAAAAGCTGAGAAAGCTGGGATTGTTTAGTGTGGAGAAAAAAAGGCTCTGGGAGGTCTCATCAATGTGCACACGGATCTGAAGGAAAGGTGTAAAGAAGAGGGAGCCAGGCTCTTTTCAGTGCTGCCCAGTGACAAGCACAAACTGAAACACAGGAGGTTCCATCTGAACACAGGAAATGCTTTTCACTCTGAGGGCTAGAAAACTAGGGGTGATTGCATTAGAAAAAACCTGAAAGAACAAGTGAAACACCAAAGAGTAGAGGGCAGAGGGTGGACAAGTAGCTGGGTATTAAACAAGAGCAATAAATACGTAGGGTGAGAAGATAACATCAAGGAAGAAGGGAAGAGAAGCTGAGCATTAGGAGGAAAGAAGTAGTGGGTTGTGAGCCCACAGGACACAGAAGCCACTTGGTGGCAATGAGCAGAGGAAAGGCTCTGGGAAGCCCAGCAAAGGGAAGTGACACACTGGCTCCCCGATGAAAGGAAAGGAAAGGGCGAGGCAAGCAGGACAGAGGATTTCAAACTGCTCCTGGTCATTTTTTTAAGATCAAAGAATGGCTCTGTTCTGGGAGGACCAGAAAACCTTTGATGTAATGGTAGTTTTGGCAAGACACTACAGAATTAAAGAAGAAAAGAAAGTATTACCCCTTCCATTCAGTATTTCCTCAACATTCATACAAGCAAAGTATGAAAATCATGAAATAACCTCAAGAGCTAACAGCAAGACTTATTGATGGAAGGCACACAGAGAGAGACAGAAAGGAAGAACAAGCACATAAAAATGGATGGTGTCAGGCAGTCACATAATCTCTCTATAAAATGCATTTGGTATCGTTATCCTTCCAATTCTTCTTTTAAATTGGATGATAAACCATAAAACTGATGCAAATTTGAGCATGTTACTACAAGAGAATACTCTAATAGCTTTTACATTGCTGAGTGGATGCAGACAGAAATTTGTTTTACTGATTCAAAACCTTACTTTCTTGAACATAAAAATGCATTACAACGACAAAATGCACAAATGTTCATACTGAACCAAAAATTCATGTTAAAATAACAATTTTGCTGAATACTTACAGCACTACAGATATTAACCTAGATTTATGGACATTGTAACAAAAAGCTGATTTGTGTCCAGATAAGTCTGATCCAAGTATTCTTAGAAAAGTGGTAACCTCACTCTGGGTTCTCTACTGAAAGCAACAAGCTGTTTTATTGATGAAAGGATATAGAATGCATATGTTCACTGGAATAACTTCAGGATGTGGTTGACTTCAAATTAAATTTTGCAGTCTTCTATGTCAGACTAGTACAAGTAAGGCAGAGGAACACGACTTGCAGCTTATGCAAACAAAGAACAGAATACTTTATAGAAACCCATTAAAATCCCCTGTATAGCACAGTAGCAGTGTGCACCTACAAAATGCATTCTGACATCTTTATGAGAAATAAATATCCTTTCCACTGTAGCCTCATCTGAGAATACAATGCAGATTTTTTTCCAAAAAATCATACACCTTTCTCTACAAATAGGGCCAAATCTTGTATGTAACAACTAAACTATACTCAAGAATAATCTTTCAATTAAATGAGTTATTTTAATCATATTCATTCTCTCAAAATGTCAGACTAAATAACTGATTGCTAAAGTAATTAGGATATTTACTTGTTAATAGCTATTAAATAATTAAATTCACTTTAATTAACAGCATTAAACCAAATAAAAAAGCCAAACAAAACACAATCTCTAGATATGCAAAAATCTCAGTTTTGCCTATATCTTTTAGTTCTCTGGTACTTCTCAAGAGCTGAAGGATTATTCCAGAAAACATCTAGGTTCTTCATCTCCTTTTATATCCACTAGTGAGTCTGTGTAACAAACCATGCTCTTCCTTACCTTCTAGCTTCTGCTCCTGACCTGCACAACTTGCTGGAGCAAGAAGCGGTATACCTATCAAATCATACAGCAAAATTGATCTGATTGCAAAAAAGCGTCAAAATATCCAAAAGCTTCTTCTAAATGGGTACTATTTGTTCTCAGGCTCCTTAAGGGGGTGATCAGATCATGTGTAGTATCTTGAAAGAGGTTCACAATAACAGCACTTTCCTCTGGAAACAGGAGCTGGCTAAGGAAATAGAAGACCCAAGAAACTGCCAGGTACTATAGATAGGAGATGGAGCTTCCAGCTCAAAGAGACTACTGAGAGGAGAAGGAGCTGACAGGGCTCAGAGAGAGGCAAGGAACCTCCTCGTTTGCTGCAACTCACAAAACCACTGAGTTAAATTAAGCTATGACTGGAAGGTTAATTCACTCAGAGCTCTGAATGGAATCTGAAAGGTTCATGTTACATTTCTTTCCCAACGTATTTTTTATTATCTAAGTTGGCAAGTTCATCTCATGGCCACTACAACAATTTTACTGGCAAGTGCAGGAGTTGGAAGTGAGTAGATTGTAGAGAAAGGGAGAACAGTGAGATAGTATGATAAATAGGTCATCCTTTTCTTCTATCTGAACAATAATTTACAAATCTTCCTTACTAAAGTGAGAGCCATTGGGAGTATAAAAAAGCAGAAAAGTTCTAGAAAAAATAGAAATAAAAATTTGTCAGAAAATAGAGACAGAATTTGCATGACATTGGGGTACTTGTCCTCTGCCTGTGTAAAAATAGCTCTGGGAGCAGAAATGACAAAGAATTTGCAGGCAGTTTAACTCATGGTTTGTGAGAAATGGATGTCAGTGGATACATGCCTGACTGGTTGTCATGTAAGCAAACCATGAATAAGAGAAGGTCCTGAACAGAATTAATGTCCTGTCAACACCTGACACAGCACCACGTGAAGTGCCAGGACACTGAACATCAGCATTCGCTTCCTGCTTCCACAAGGCAGGTGTTGCAGCAAAGCACTCTAATTTCCAAAGGGCCTTTCATGACTGAATGAAAGATGTTTTTAACAGATTGAATACATTTAAAATACATTTTTGAAATTGGAAACTGTTTTCAGAGATGCAGAGACTATCAGAAAGAATAAAGTAATAATTTGACAAATAAATTTTAGAAGTTTATACTTGCAACATTGATATTGTCTCAGTAGTGGTTTCTTTAGATGAAGTTTTCTGGATTTCTCATGAAAAGGAACTGTGGGCCTGATACATACGATTTGTGATATTTTATTGGACATTCCTACGTGAAGGGAAAGAAGAATGATTCCAAATTCATAGGGCAAGCTAAAACTCATTCCAGCTATTCCACCTGACAAACTGACTACCTTGGGACATCTGGAAAATGCATTCACAGCATGTACAAGCACAAGGTTTTGTTCTTCCAACTTAATGTCACATTAAATTATATTAATTAGTGGTTAAAGTTACATTCCTTTACTCTTTTAGTTGCAGCGTGGATATGAGCAGATGAACTGATTCTGTCCTGCACGTCCCTGACCAAACAAGTAAGCACACAGAGTAGTCACTGAAATAATTAGATCTATCACATGGACCTCAAACATTAGAAGTGTTAGAAAAATAACATCTTTTGTATGGATAAAATCTACAACATTTCTCTTCCCAGGGATGGGATGAGGACTGAACTGTATAGAAAAATAACAACACTGAAATACATTGTATTTCATATAACGAGCACAAAAATACTGTAGTAAAGATCTACATAGAGAGCTGCAATGCAAAATTATCCCATCTTCTCTTAAAAGTAAAATGACAGTTAAAAACCCAGAACTGCAATTTTTAAAAAGTATATATATAAATAATGTTCTCATAATTTAGACAAATTATCAGCAATGTCATTGGGATTGGTTTGGAAATTAAGACACTTACCATTTCTAAGGCCATAATACGTTCCTAAAAACAAAATACAAGATGCCATTAAAAAGCAAAAAATATAAACACAGAGTATGTCAAAGAATTATGAATAGGATTAATTTTGGGGTTTTGGTGGTCTCATACATAGAGTTTTTTGTAAAAAACTCACTGAGTAGGAACTGTTGTACTTCACTGGATGTCTTTATCATACTATTCCACTTAGAAAATTGCCCCAAAAATAAGAAACCATCCAGAAACAAGGTGAGAAAGGATTTTACAAAAATTACTCCACAATATATTTTTTAATTAGTGCATTAGGTTTTCAATATTGCTGATTTTACTCCTACATACCCCAAAAAATTATTTCTTTTTTTGATCATCTCTGACTGTAAATATAGCATGATTTGGAATTCATATCATCTTAGCATCAGGCTTAGTTTTCTTTTACGCATTTCCTTAGAAAACTAAAAAGTAAATTCTTTATCATTATTCTTTCATCCAGAAATAGCTCTGAATAATGTTTTATTAATAACAGGATGACATTAGTCAAACAAATAAAACAAACTTGTGTCAGTTTTAATCCAGCACAAAATATAAAGAACACAGAATTAACTAATTTACTCTATTTATTTCAACATACTTTTCCCTTTTTGAAGTATTTTTAAGAAAGATACGAAGTTAGTAAAAACAAGATAGTACTATATCCTGACTAAGTATGGTATTTTAAGTTATTTGACAAAACATATATTCCAGGGTTTAGTTGAGTCCCCATTTACAGTACGTGACCATTAAGACATTACAGGAACTCTTACCTTACTCAAATATTGCTCAATTTTTTCTTAGGCAAGGTAGTCTATCACCTGCTAAAGTCTTTATTCTTCCTTAGAAGTAGGTCTGAGATACAGATTTTTTCCATGCATCAGAACAAACTTATGACAAAAAGTATTATATTGAAAACTCAGAAATTTTTATTCTGAGATGTTTGATGCTCCACAAAATTGCAGTGGCAAACGCTCATATTTATTTAAAGATTCTGCAATGAAGTACATACTCATAACCATGAAAAAGATGGTATTTACAGAGCTCATAAACTTCTGGTAATAATGAACTTCAATTCAAATAATTTTTTTCATTTAAAGAGGACTACTTTGAAAAAAAGGTCTTAGAGTGAGGATGTTTCTAATGATAGAATAAAGAGTGTTTTCAAAATGACTCATGCATTAAATAAAGTGCATGATATCGTTGCCAAATTCTAAAAGTATAATAAACTCTTACAATCTCAGCAGATAATTTTCTGGACTAGCACCTAATGTATTAGGAAATTTACTATGGATAATTTATACACCACTTGACTGTGAAAGCATGGATATCTGAAGGGAGAAAAAACTGCTATCAAGCATTTGAATATGAAAGAACAGCAGCCAGAGCACTACAATTCACGCACTTTAACAGAACTGCCAGCTAGGGAAAGGAATAAAGCAATTTAATCAGGAACATGACAGGCAGGCAGGCACATAGAGCCATGCAAGATACTACTACGATGCAAGTTCCTGCAGTCTAAAATTACTCCTCATTCAATCAGAAGTAGTATCATTAGAACAATTTGTCAACCATGAAACTTCACATGAAAGCAGATGCAGAATTGCTTCACATGAAAGGAGATCTTTTTACATTGATGTAATTAGATATGCACCTGTGTAAACTGCTTACGCAGACAAGCTCTCAGCCTTGTTGAACTTGAGCTGCCAGAAAGCCAGGCCAAGATTTTTGTTAGAACAGGAAACAGCTGGATTGATGTGTTGTGCAACTTTTGGGTCTTGCAACTTGTCTCTTCTTACTGGATCAAATTGTTTGTACACTAACTTCTTTGATACCTCCAGCCCTCAAAATGCTTTCTATTTATTATATGAGAAGATAAGGCTTATCTTCAAACAAAATCCCATGGACAAAACTGAGGTCAATACATAATGTCATTTTCCTTATGAGCCTTATCTTCATCAATACCCTCACAAATGTCCTGCTTTCAATACACTTACAGAATGCTGACTCATTGATACTCTTCATATTGCATGTAAACTTTTTTTATGTTCATATTGGGTATTGTTTGTAGTAATTTCTTGTTAAAAATTACTTTTTTTTTCTTTCTTTACTCTGAAGAACACACACATTACCCTTCCTCATAGCCTCCTCAGCCTCACAATTCAGACATTCCAGCCTGTTTTTGCTTTCTTCATCATTTTAAATTGAAAGGAGTATGTTTTCTTTGACTGCAATGCTTAAATACTATTCCAAAGCTGAGCTTAGGGTAAAAGGTTTTAAGCACAAATTTAAAGTGCTTAGCACAAACAACTTTACTGCGAGATGACATACAATAAGGATTTATAATATTGGATCAGGTCCTAGCAAATACTGACTGGTCCATTCTTCCTCAAAAAGGTGGCTATGAACATTTAGTGCTTCAGAGGCTTTAAATACTTACTTGGAATACTTTACTTTCAGTTTTATTCAGTTTTACAACAGAAAGTGTAACAGCCCAGAGAATTTAACCCAACCAGTCAAAAACTCAGCAGTGAGTATTACCAGCTATTGGGTCTGTATTTGTCTGCATATATTTCCAAATCTGAATTGAAGCTATAAGGCAGTTCAGAAAATCATAATGCTGTAATAGAATATATTTAAAGAAATTTAACAAAAAATGTAGCTAGTTAATTTAGCAGAAAATATACCTGGAGAGCTCCCATTTCTTCTTCTTTTCTGTGTGTCTTCTCTAGTAGCTCTGCAAAATGAATAATGGAACTTGTAAATTCAAATTCCTGTCTCATGGCCTGATAGAAAAAGTATTGTGTAAAACAGTCATTGAGTTTTTTATTTTACAGATTTCACAACACTCCTTTTCAGCTGATCAAATAATAGATTAAAAGTGTCAGTGATATGATTGTTTTCAAGCATGGGCTGTTGAGGTGACTAAAAAACACCCTCAAGAACACAGTTTGACTAGGGGGAAAAGAGCTTTAAGATTTACAGATAAACTTTTCTATCTTGAAATAAATCTCCTGGTGCATTTTTAGAATTGAATGAAAAAATCAAAGAGATTCTGCCTAAAAATTAACTAAAACTGACTGTCAAAGCAATGCAATTGTATATGAAAAGTTACTGCAGAACATTGCAGACTATTTTGACTCACAATAATTACCTCCTCTCACTAAAATGGAACAATTTTGCTAAGGAAAATAATACACTGTGACAATATATTAGAAAAGTTTCTTACAGTCTCTACAAGATAAAATCCTAATATCTTGTATCATCATATGTGACAATTATAGACATTAGCACATATATGCACATACATAATTTTCACATTTGAAATTTTTTTTTTTTAATTCTGTGGCTTATGTCATGAGTTCCCTTTCCCTTTTTCCTTCATTCACATAGTTTCATGATTAAAATCATGTTTTTGATAAATTGTAACATATTTAGAATTCTGGGACCTTGAAGTTATAACCTCATAAAGAACAGGAAAACCAAAAAAATATGCTGCAGGCTTATGGCTATTTCAGCTATCAGAAGTTTACTCATGAGTTTTGCATGAGAAAAGCATTTCTTTATCTAAGCCAGAGACTGACTTTGAATTCACATATGCTCCAGTTTGGTAGCAATTAGGAGAGTTATGGGATTATGAAACTGCCTTGACAACGTCAGAGGACTGAATTCTGACTGTTAATTTCCTCAGCATCCTAGTACAGATGAGTACAGCTAACTGAAACTATCTGTGTTTGCCTCCATAAGAAATAAACTTTATGATACTTACATAGTTCATAAAGATAAGCTTCAATGATTTACAATAGTAACTACAGAAAATATTCTGATATTAGTCATTTTTCCTTTGTATCTCTGATCTTTTCTTCTCTTGTTATGAAACCTTCCTGTGAGCACTCCAACCCTTTTTCAAAGCTTATTATTAATTTCTGATTGCATGTGGATTGAGACTTATTTCCAAGCATCAGTTCTTTAAGAGATGTAGATACCATGTAAAAATTTTTACTTAATTCTTTCACAAGCTGAGAGATCGACTCGTTATTATTTCTTTTTGACTTCGATGCCCCTTTATCCAAATCCTTTTTTTAAATTAGTAAAATTATAATTTCTTCACTTTGTTTTGGTGCATCTATGTTTTTCTGGATTGTTCTTTGGTATGCTTTTTCAGTCCAGTGATCCAACTGCCACATAAATTACTCTAGCCAAATGCACTGCCATCAACATTAGTACAAAAATTTGGGTTGAAAAGTAGCTGCCCTGTATGTTTACTTTGGGTATATTCCAGTATTAGATGTAAGTTGACAAAAATTTGTATTGTAATACAAGCTTTAAAAAAAATTAGGAGCATGGAATAAGTTATAAGAAAAGGGTGGGAAATGAAAAATTCATCCCCATGTCCCCTTTGACCAAAACCCCTCAATTATTATTACTTTGCTTTATTTTCATTCTAATATAGTAATAAAAAGGTTACTGTATAGGCATGATTGTTCTAAGTGAAAAGGTTGCTATTACAAAGCTCCCTTCAAACATCTTCCACAAATGCAAAATAAGTTGAACTGATTTCTGCTAACAGTCTCTAGATTTGAAAGCTCTGCACCTCAAATTAGGCTTATCTAGAATCCATTTACTTTATCCTACTCCTGCCTAAATCAGTTATCCTGCAGGGTGCTTCACAAAGCTCTGTCCCTGGAAGGGCAGGCAGGTGTTCAAGTTGTGTTAACTGACAAAATATACACCCGTACAAAGGCATCCTTTATGAACTTATATTTAAAAATCAAGTTCTGCATTTCAGCTGATGATTCCATTTAGTATTCCATGTAAAATAATGACATGTTTTCTCCAAAGCTGAAGTAAAAAAAAAAAAAAAAAAAAAAAAAAAAAAGGCCATATATATTAAACAGCTATACAAAAAGTCAAGTAATATACAGCATATACCATTCGTCTGGACATCATTTATCATGACAGAATAACTTTGCTTACTTGATCTGAAGAGCTCTGTTAATTTATTTTATAATTTGTGCAATACTTCCCATATTTAAGTTCTTGTGCAAACTTAAATATATGTTTTATGCCTTATGTCATGTGCCAGAAAATAATGTTGCAATGAAGTTAAGACAGAGAATGCATTGTGTCTGCAATGAGCAGAGCAAAGATGGTCACTGGCCCTAGTGGAACTCCTTTCATCCATCCTATGAACAGCCTCTGATTTTTTCCAATTCAAATTCTGTTCATAAAAGAAGTTGCACAGTGGCATGGGTTGCTACAACAATCCTGCTACCATCTTCTTTCAAGGCCTAATGTAACCACAGGGTCCTTGGGGATTTTTCAAAGCAATGCATCATTATTCTCACGGGGCACAGAACACATCAATTTATAAATTTACTAGAAGAAATAGCATTATTGAGAAAGGAACCTTTAGGCATTGATGGCTCTTCTCAAAAGATGAATAATGTATGGGAAAAGACAACAAGAGAAATGAGATGTAGAAACAAAGATATTCATCAGTATAGTCCCTTTTTATTTCTAGCTAAATATGAATATTGCAATCCAATAAGGAACTATAAGCTAAAACTATTAAAAAATCAGATATATTTTAGATGTTTAAAATCAGCAGCAAGCTCAGGACATTGTCTGTAAAATTAGGGATCATACTTTTCTGCAGCCATACAAAACCATTTTATTTACAGTGCCTAAATTCCAAATCATATAAAGATTATATCTCGCTGAGCTATGCATCAGTATACGCCGAGTATCCTTGAAGTTACACTACAGTGACTTAGATGTGACTAATCAAAGTTACAGGAAAAATATAGGTTATGATTTAAAACATTCTGTCAGAATCATTATCTCTTACAGTTTTCCTGACACTGAACCACTACAGTATGTTTCAAAACACTGCAAATACTAAGCTGGAGATAAAGATTATATATTCCATCACACCACACTGACAAGTGAGGAAAAAAGGGTTATTTGAAAGGATTTTTCACAGACAAACTCCCCAGTTGTAATTTTGATTGCTGGTGAAAAGTATCAGCAAATAGATTTAGGAGCAGATATTTATTGATTTAAATGAGTAAAATGCAACAGTACTACCTTATTTATCCTAGCTGATCCATTAATATGCCATTAGCTAACTAGAATGTTAAAACACTTTTATGAACTAAAATGTTCAACTCCTTTAGCTTTGTGCCGGGTGTAAAAAAGGTGGGAAACAGGACATTGACTTTATAATAACTGGAGCATCAATTTTTTTATTTCAAACACTGCATGACCCCCCATTTTAGAAACTGAAGATAATAATAGACAACATTCCTCTTCACATTCTCAGAGAAGATTGACATGCCAGAGAAAAATCTACAAATTGGACCAATACCACAATTTTATGTTTATCTTCTTCTAGCCAAGGAGAATGCACAAATACAGAAGTGCACATAAAGTCAATTCTTATAGCCATAGATATCTACTCATACAGTGAGAAGCCCTAAAATGTGATTCAGTGAGGTGATGAGGACATTCACACTACAGCTCAGTTTTGAATTCATAGGCAATATGCTGTAAACTATCCTAGATATCGTCAGGCTACTGGTAGGTCTGACTGAATATTCTTACCTCTCCCTAGCAGTTGCAGATCACACAGGAAAATAAAGAACTCACATAATACAAAAAATACAGCTACTATGTGGCACTAAAGCAAGAAATCCAGGTTATTACCAGAAAAGAATGGCAGCCTGGAAAAAAAAATGTCAGCATAATTTTTGCATCATCAAGCTAAGAAAAGCTCTTCTTCAAAACACAAGTCAGGGATTTTGCATTTCCCAAAGTTTGTAACCCTAAACATTAAGGTTTTAAGTTATATAAGTGGATATCAAACTCTTGATAAGTCACTTAATTAGACACTCTGATCATATTACCTTGAAAGTCGCTTTGATCAAAAATTGTAAGGCTTTTTTATGTCAAGTATTTCCCATCATTCTCACTTCAAATACGCAGCCTACAGCTTTCACTCATTTGGATATACTTCCCACAAAACTGCTGAACAGATACTGCAGCATTCCCATAGATGCACAAGGCAGCCAAGCAGGTTTCCATCAAGTATGAAGGAATTTTCAAGCAGCTGAATATATCAGTTTCTCTCAGCTAGAAATTACTTATCTTGCTCACATCTACACAGTCAAGTTTAATCACACATTACTTACAAGTTCTTCCCTTCACACAATGAATCTGTCATGAAGGCCCTATTTTGGGGGTGAATAAATATATTTCTAGCTGAACCAGTGTAACCAAAGTGTTTCACAAGATAATACATATTAATTCATGTCCAGTAGAGGCAGAACAACTGCAGTTTTGCTCTGTACCTGTGTTAGGTTGTGGTGAATGGCTCCACAGTACTGTGAAAACTGTCACAATCCAGAAACACTCAGTTCTAAAGGATGTGTCCACGAGGCTCAAGCTTCCTACTGTCAGGCCCAACACTACAAATCATCCTGGCACTAAAGCAACTGAGATGTAAAATAGCACTGGCAACTACTTCGCACTATTTTAATTGTAACAGTATTTGCCACACATGCAAGCCATGAAGGGAATTTCTACATAACCATATTATTATCATCTTGAAGGAGTTTTATAGAAATAGGTATCTCTTAGAACATTAATTTTTGCTAGTGTGGAACAAGGTCCATACATTATTTGTATTTCAGAATTGAGTGTTTATGTAATCTCAAGTGTTTATGCAATCCCAAG